TACTGTACAAAATCCTCGGCTCTACCCTCCAAGGGGTCCTCCCGCGCTTCCTGGTGGAGCAGGGAGCGGGTCACCCTAAACAGGGCAGCCGGGCAATTATCTGATGACGCAATAAGAGTGGCAAAATAGTTATACTTCGCCACTTTTATCGCCACCAGGTAGGTCCTAATATGAGACCTTACCAGTGTTCGGTCAGATTCAGAATGGCTGGCCCTCCAACCACTCTCCAGGCGTCTTTTCCGGCGCTTCATCTCCCTCAGCTCCTCGGTGAACCAAGGAGCCAGGCGAGATCGACGCCGGGTCAGAGGCCGCAAAGGCACGACCCGATCCAAAGCTCCAGCGGCCGCCCTATCCCAGGCGGCCACCAGCTCCTCAGTCGAGCCGTGTGCCAGAGCCTCAGGAAATGGCCCAAGCTCCGTCTGGAACCTATCAGGATCCATCAGGCGCCTGGGGCGGTACCACCTCAGTGGTTCCGCCTCCCTGCGGCTGGGTGCGGCGGTTCGAAGGTCAAAGCGAAGGAGGGAGTGATCTGACCATGACAAGGGCTCGATCACTATATCCCCTATCTCAAGATCACTCAACCACTGACCAGAGACAAAAACCAGGTCTAGCGTGTTTCCCCCCGTGTGAGTAGGGCCATGAACTAACTGGGTCAGGTCCATGGCCGTCATGGAAGCCATGAATAATAATAAAGTTACTGACCTTTAAAGACTGTTTTCATGCTTCATAGTAAACCTTGGATTTACACGTTGGGCTGAGCACAACAATTCACATTATATCTTCATTATGAACATTACAATAACCAGTTACATATCTCCTAAGTAAGCTATTTTTCAAAATCATTCACCCACAACATAGTCTCAACAGTTCAGTGTGTCTTCAGACCCAAATGTTTGAGGCCCTTATTTAATAGCAATAGCACTTACTTATATACTGCTTTATAGTGCTTTACAGCCCTGTCTAAGCGGTTTACAGAGTCAGCACATTGCCCCCAATGGCTCCTCATTTTACCGACCTCAGAAGGATGGAAGGTTGAGTCAACCTTGAGCCTGATGAGATTGGAACTATCAAATTGCAGCCAGACAGCAGGCAACAGAAGTTGCCTGCAGTACTTCATTGCACTCTAACCACTGCACCACTGCAGCTCAGTGCAATGTTTAATCCAATCAATCCATGGGGTGAGTAGACAGACCTACTTTATGGAACTGACTCTGACTAGGAAGAGTTGTGAAGGTGTTTTCTGCTTGCGATGCCATGAACGTGATGGAAAACTCATCTCCAAAGCATCAACAACTGGAAAAGATCTTGTTGTTTTCGAAAGCTAGTGGGTTACAGTGAGTGACCGATCTTTTGTACTTGAGCAAGAGCTATAATATTCTAAGGTCCTCTACTGATTGTCGATCAAAGTTCAAGCACGTGAATGAACCAGTGGCAATTACCAAATACAGAAGTGGCTTTACTACTAATAAGGAAACAAAATTCTAACTACAAAGGGAGACATGGATATCCTTCTCAACCCTGTGACTAAGAGCATATCTAAGTCTTAAATTGTTATTATAATTCACTGACACTGCATTTACCATGGAAGAGGAAAGGGATAAGGAGGCCCAGCAGCAGATATTCTTGAATCATGCTGCCTTTCAACTCCGTAATAAATTAGTCACTACCAGGCAAAGATTGGTGCAATCATAAAAAATTCCATTCTTAGGATACATGAGGGATACAACCAAGGACATTTCAGAATAAGAAATACCTACAATACTATATTTAGAGACGGATGCATAGACGTGATTCAACAATTAATTCAATTCTCTCTGGTTTAAGTCCAACCTGCACTCCTATTACTCCAGTTTAACTAGAATGAATTAGGAGATTTACAAATGAAGCTAAAACAGTGGTGAAATTCAAATTTTTTTACTACCGGTTCTGTGGGCATCGCTTGGTGGGCGTGGTGTGGCTTGGTGGGCATGGCAGGGGAAGGATACTGCAAAATCTCCATTCCTACCCCACTCCAGGGGAAGGATACTGCAAAATCTCCATTCCCACCCCATTCTGGGGCCAGCCAGAGGTGGTATTTGCTGGTTCTCCAAACTACTCAAAATTTCCGCTACCGGTTGTGAACTACTCAAAATTTCCGCTACCAGTTCTCCAGAACCTGTCAGAACCTACTGGATTTCACCCCTGAGCTAAGCCATAATATTTTGACTCACCAGATGGTATCGATTCAGTTATTGTGGTTTATAAGTCATTGTTTATAGAGTAGTATTATCCAGAGAAATGTAGCTCAACAAACAAACTATGAATATGTAATCTATGATGCCATTAATAAGATGGTGAACAATCTTAGGTGAAAGTACTCTTCATCAAAAGATTTTTGGGATGGGATAATTGATGTTACTCTGGTACAGTTCTTTTTTTGAACTGGAGGTACATTGCAGTGATGGCAATTAACACAGTAAACAAGTCAGAGAAGACATTTTATGTTTTGTGTCTTCTGCCCAGTCCTTCCTCAAAGACCAGATCTTCTCCAGCAGCAGTGGATATCTCTACTTCCCTTCTGGGATCTTGGATGAAATCACCACCTCATGAAGCCAGTCAGGTCCCTCCTTCACATTCTTGAGTCTTGGGTGGAGCTCATGCCCTCTGGATCTTCACTTCTGGACCTTTCTTCTCCCTTCCCATCCAGGAACTGACAGATGTTCTACACACTTAACTTTTCTCTTCAGTCAATCTCTTCACTCTGTGCACATACAAGTAGTCCTTGTCTTACTACAACAATTGAGGCCAAGCTTTCTATTGTTAAGTTTATTAAATGAGCTTTGCCCCATTTTACGACTTTTCTTGCCACAGTTGTTAAGTGACTCACTGCAGTTGATAAATTAGTAACATGGTTCTTAAGGTGAATCTGGTTTCTCTATTGATTTTGCATATCTGAAGGTCGCAAAAGATGATCACATGACCCTAGGACACAACAACGGGCATAAATATGAACCAGTTGCCATCTGAATTTTGATCACATGATCATGGGGATGCTGCCAAGGTCATAACTGTGAAAAATGGTCATAAGTCATATTTTTCAATGCTGTTGTAACTTTGAACAATCACTAAACGAACTGCTGTAAGTTGAGGAGTACCTGTATTTTTCATCTCCTTCTCTCCTCTCTCTCTCTCTCTCTCCCTCCCTTCCTCCAATTTTTAGGTTAGATTGGCAGCTTGTCTTTTAGCAATTGAGGAGGTGAGTGTCCTTCCAGAGCTCCACACCCCAAAATCTAGATTCTAGGCTGGGCTAATAGATACTGAGCTGCTGCCTCAGTACCTAATTCAACTCATCAGACTCCCAAAAGCACAGCCTCCTTTCAAAGACAGATGTGATCTTCTTTTCTCCTTTTCCTTATTCCAATGACCACCTCATGCCAAGTCACTCAGAATCATACACCGCATCAATGGTGGGTTCCTCCTGATTTGGCACGGTTCGGCCGAGCCGGTAGCAGTGACGATACTGAACCGGTTCTGCCCCCCTGCCCCCCTGCTGCCCCCCCCCCCACATTATTCTTACTTTTTATTTGGCCCCACCCCCAATCTATTGCTGCCTCCTGAGTCCCAGCTGATCGGCTAGAAAGAAAAAAACTGTTTAAACTCTTGCCGGGGGGCTTCAAAAGGCCGCTCTACAGCTGATCAATGGTAAAAGGCAGTTTGGTGGTAGACCGATGCCTCCAAAAACAAATGAGTAGACCAGTGCCTGCAAAAATAAATGTGTAGATCAGTGCCTCCAAAAACAAATGAGTAGACCGGTGCCTGCAAAAGCAAATGGGTAGACCGGTACAGCTCTGCAAGCAGTTAAAAGCCTGGTAGACCAGTACCTCTGCTAAATCCTAAAGAATTGTCACATGACCATCAAGCCATGCCCACAAAATAAGCCACGCCCACAGAACTGGTAGTAAAAAAATTTAGAACCTACCCCTGCACCGCATATAAATATCACCATATCATGGTCCTGATATAATAGAGAAGGCTGAAATTGTAACCATTGGTTGTTAAGCTCCATTAAGCTTTTTATGATATTGGAAAGCTAATGAAATGCTTTATTAATCCTAATTCTGAAGTTATGTGGCCCTGAAAGCATAATGACCTTTTACTGTGGAATATGCATTGCTATGGTTTAGGGTTCTATGAAAATCAACTTTTTTCTCTTTGACTCTTTATCAAGCAATCAGGGGCTCTTAAAATATGACAGGATATGACAGTTTCATAGAACTCACCATTTATTCTCTTTCAGATCTAAGTGATGGTGGGTGGAGCTATACTAACCATTTTTAATCTCAGATGGCATTAATGTAATTAATTGCATCAAATATTAAGACTTGGAAGCACCATTGGAATGTACACAGAATACACACAGGATGTTTCAGGAGACCAGGACTGCATTCCGATATGTAATTCTCAGTGACATCAGAAGGACTAAGTCCGACTAACCGAGATTGGCAGTAGGACTGATAGCAGGGTTACCAACCTGGAGGTGTTACAGAAAGAATTGTAATCAAAGAGCAACAGGTACTTTGAATGACTGATCTGAGAGGCAGCACCACTTTCTATGCTGAAGCGAAACAGATTTGGTGGCTTCATTGCCAACATTCGGGCAGATAGTAATCAAGGAAAGAGACGCCATTCAGTAAGGAATACTCTGTTTTGGAGATTTGTGCTATGCCTGGCAGGTTCTTAACATCTGAATAGCTTTGATCTGATTTTAATTAGATAAAGGCTAATTTTTAAAAAAATTAGTTGCTAGACATTGGGGTTTTTTTACCCCTATTTTTTGCTAGGAGTTTTGAGAGAGGCAATTCCATTCTTGCTACATACCTACGGATTCTTTCTGCAGCTGAAATTGCAAGAGGTGGGGCTCTGACTCAATGTTTGTAACACCTACTTTTACCATTTCAAAGCTTGTAAATATCTTTTAGGAGCCATTATTATCTTAGATGTGTTCTTCATAGAGCCTCACTTGGACATAATGGTTTCTAGAATGGAATCACTCACTACTTTCCTGAAGGTAAGAACTATACAACTGGAAAAAGAGTCACTGGACAGGTTGTTCATATTGGCGTACATGCACTTATTTTTATCTTATCTAGAAAAAAAAAAAGGAGAAACAAGTTAGTTGAAAACAAGACTTGTAAAAAGCTGTCATGCATGGCTTTGATCTCATCGTCATCATACAGAGTAAATTTTGTTTGAATCCAGATATGAAAATTGCTGCTGAGAGATATGTATATGTAGGAGATGAAAACCCTGATGAGAAAGTATGTCTGAATGTTCTTCTTTTCTACTGAGATTTTTTTTTAGAAAGAAAAATCCTCCTGTAGGGTATGCTGATGCGATTTGTGTTGGTTAAGCTGTTTGGTTAGCTATTTCTACTGTTAAAGGAATATTTGTAAATGTATACAGAATGTGAATTAGAAGAAATGCCTGTAATTATTAAAATGTACTACAACAAAAGTATCTCTTGTCCCTCTGGCAGTCTTGTATTTTATACACTTATTTTATTTGGCAGGTTCCAAACAGAAAAACAAAATTTTGGGAAATACCAGAGAGTCAACATGCTGTTCAAGCACATGTAGGATGTAAGGTAATGAATCTAAAACAGAAAATTAAAAATGAATGGTTTAACTGGGCAAGAGTTTTTATTATGAGCATAGGATAAATAAACATTTAGTTAATAAACTAAATGTTAATGTTTATTAACTCTTTAATAAAGAGTTAATGTCTTTCTTGAGCAAGAAAATTGCAAGAACAACTTTTTAGACAAATTGCCTAAGAATTTACTATATCTGCTTTTTTTTATTATTACCTTCCCAGTCAACTAAATATTAGTTTGCAAAGGGGTTTTACTGTCTTTGCTAGAGTCCATGTTTCTCTGTGTGCCTCACATCACAGCTAGCTGTGGTTTTACTTGGAAATCATGCCCACTAAATTGCAGAAAACTGCCAATTAACAATGTCAGCAAAAAATATAATTTTGTTGCTGACAGTATGAAATTAGGTGATTTGTGCTCCTCACTAGCATAAGGACTAGTTACAGTATTTTAGGAAATGAATTATTGAATTCTTCCTCATGTACTAATACCAAATTTAATTCTTGACAGTAAATTTCAGCTATCCAAGCACTTAGCCTTTTAATCAGGAAATGGTTCCATGGAAGACTTTCAATCATAACTCCAATTACTTTCTTTCCTGCAGACAGGAACGAAGCCACAGATATAGCAAGCTTCCTATGGCAAGAGACAAAATTCAAAATATACTGCTCAAAAAAATAAAGGGAACACAAGCAGAAGACATCCGAGATCTGAATGAATGAAATAGCCTTATTAAATACTTTGTTCTTTACATACAGTAGTTTATACACTGCTCAAACAACTAAACGGAACACAAAACTACTGTATGTAACGAACAAAGTATTTAATAAGGCTATTTCATTCATTCAGATCTTGGATGTCTTCTGCTTGTGTTCCCTTTATTTTTTTGAGCAGTATATATAGAAAGATTAATGATTCAGGATGGAATTCTAGACTTTGTCCTCTTGCCTGTCCAAAGCAACAGTTACTTGTCTATTCTCTTTATGGTATTGGAAGCCATTTGAACTATGCTGACTTAACAGTCCTTTCTAGCCTAAGAACCGGGAGTGAAATCCAGCAGGTTCTGACAGGTTCTGGAAAACCGGTAGTGGAAATTTTGAGCAGTTCGGAGAACCAGCAAATACCACCTCTGGCTGGGGTGGAAATGGGGATTTTGCAGTATCCTTCCCCTGGAGTGGGATGAAAATGGATATTTTGCATTATCCTTCCCCTGCCACGCCCACCAAACCACGCCCACCAAACCGTGCCACACCCACCAAGCCACACCCACAGAACCATTAGTAAAAAAATTTGAATTTCACCACCGCTAAGAACCACTGGTTTGTGCTCTCAATGCTTTACACACACACCAACTCCTGCTGCAACACTAGTGACTGGGAGAGATTTTGCCCTCTTTTCTTTCTGTAGATCTTGGGATGCCGATATTGGATTATTCTAGGCATCAAAGGAGAAGTTGAAGTTGACTGAAGTTTAAACTCATAAATAAAACAACTTTCCCCCACAAGCATTTCCCACTTTTATTAATTTCAATATGACTTGAGGTTGTGAGAGATTGCCATTTCTATGGAAGTTAGGCATACATAAATATTAAAATTTCATGAATGCAATAAAAAATCTGTTGGTCAGATTGAAGAATTCTAATAGACCATTTAAGGAAGATATGTTTTTATAGGTGGACCGCACTTGTTTGTCGCAGTCCTTCAAATATTGGAATAGTGACATTTATTTATTATTTAATTAATTTAATTTAATTTGTATACCGCCCTTCTCCCAAAGGGACTCAGGGCGGTGAACAGCCAAAATTAAAATACATACAATACAAAAGTTAAAATAATTAAAAGAGATTAAATCAATCGGCCACCCAATTTAAAACCAAAAGTCTATAAAATTTAAAAATCCCATTAAAAACCATTTGATAGCAGTATTCCAACATTTGAGGGGCTGCCACAAACAAGAGGGATCAACTTATTTTCCAAAGCACCAAAAGACATGGCAAGAAACAATGGATGGAAACTAATCAAGGAGAGAAGCAACCTGGAATTAAGGAAAAACTTCCTAACAGTGAGAACTATGAACCAGTGGAATGACTTGCCTTTTGAAGTTGTGAGTGCTTCATCACTAGAAGTTTTTAAGAGACTGGATAGCCACTTGTCTCAAATGGTATAGGGTCTCCTGCTTGAGCAGGAGGTTGGACTAGAAGACCTCCAAGGTCCCTTCCAGCTCTATTCTGATTGATTGATTGATTGATTGATTGATATTTTTACTTAACTGCAACCAACAACCTTTGTCCAAAGTGGATCCTAGTTCTGCAATGGTTAGGAATTGTGATTCAACACCTTTTCCTTCCACTTCCTGGACCTTTCAAATGCAGCAGTGTAAGGAATCGGTTCTATATCTTTGACAACCATTCCTCCATTATGAGAACATCAGAGTCTTCCTTTTTATGTGTGTGCCATCGAGGGGTGAAATCTAAAAATTTTCCCTACCGGTTCTGTGGATGGGGCTTAATTGATGGGCATGGCTTGGTGGTCAGGTGACCGGGTGGGTGTGGCCAATAATAAAAAATAATAAAAATAATAAACAAAGTACACAAAACAATAAGAGCTACCAAAAACCAACTTTCACACTTTACACACACATAACACAACACAACTGACTAACACACAATGTAAAAGCAGCTGCACTTCACCCAAAATGCTCCCTGAAACAAGCAGGAACCTCACAGAGGCACAAAAAGCTCAAAAACCAACTTTTACACTTTACACACACACACAACACAACACAACACAACTGACTCACACATAATGTAAAAGTAGCTGCACTTCACCCAAAATGGCCCCTGCAACAAGCAGGAACCTCACAGCCACAAAAAGCTCAAAAACCAATTTTCACACTTTTTCCACACAAAATGCCACATACAGCTTTGTGAGATTTTGTGAGTTTGTGTAGTTAGAGTGAAACACTACAGAAACACACCAAATCTCAGAAAGCTGCACAAATATTTTATTATTTTATTTTATTTATATTTTTAGATAAAAGCAGCTAAATTTAAAACTTCCTTAATTTAAAGTTAAGGAAAAAAAATAAAACTCCTAAAAAAACCCAATTAACTATTTTTTTAAAGCTTCCCCACAAAAAAATAAAAAACCAGTTACTTACCAAATTGAAGGCAGAAAGCAGGCAGATTGAGTTGCTCACTGATTGCATTGATTTCAGGCAGGCAGATTGAGTTGCTAGCTGATGCAATGGATTGCAGCAGCTGAAGCAAGGCAGGAAATGTGAGAGAGCATGAAAGAAGCAGCAAGTGGGCAAGTGGGGACCGAGCGATTGGGTGGGCATGGGGAGGGGGTGCAGGGATTTTTGCTACCGGTTCTCCAAACTACCCGCCGCCATCGCTAATGGATTGGCCGATCTGGTCTGAACCGGGAGCATTTCACCCCTGGTGCAATCTATGTCTCTTTTCTAATTGATTGTTCGCTAACCACAGCAAAGAAAATTCTGGTTTCAGTTGAATGTTGATCTTTAAAATTCTTTGTATCATCAGATGTATTTTAACACAGAAATTTCTGGTTCTTCTATAAATCTAAGCATGATAAAATGACTCTTCATGTTGCCCACATTTTCAATATACATTTGAAGTATTGAGCTAAATAACAACAAAAACTGTTGCCTAAGGTTTTGTTGGCTGAGAGCAGGAAAGTTGAAGACAACTGGGTAATTATGGCTGTACAAGATGAGCCTAAGGAACAAATGCATATACAGCCAGAATTGAGAAGACAATAACAGAAGCAAACACTGCTGAAGCTGAAGAAACCATGGACCACCTAGCTAGCAGCTGCAGGAAGATTGCACAAACTGACTACAAACAAAGGCATGGCAAAGTGCATTGGAATATCTGCAAGAAATATGATTTGCCTGCAGGCAAGAACTTGTCAAAATAGACAAAGGAATAGAAAATAAAGCTAAAATGTTTTGGAACTTTAGTATTCAGACAGACAAGGGCCTGCCACGTTACACCACAGATTTAACAATTGTTGATAAGAAAAACAAAAAAGTCTGGATAGTGGGACATTGCAGTACTTCGATACAGTGGAATAGAAGAGAAAGAACTGGAGAAAATCACAAAAGACAAAGAACTGCAAATTAAAGTAGAACAAGTGTAGGCAAAGAAAGTGAAAATAGTGACAATAGAATAGGTGGTTTAGGTATAATCCCAAAACAACTGAAGCACTTGTTGAACACCATTGACACTGACAAAATCAATCAATCAATTGCAAAAGATAGCTTTATTTGGAAGAGCTGACACCCTTAACACATCAAATAACAATATCTGCCCGTTGGAAGGATTCAAAATGCCAAATCTAGTCTAAACCTCTGGCTGACCATGCAACCAATAACAATATATTTAATGTTTATGCTAGCTTACTTCCAGAAAACTGGTATTCAATTGTTAAAATCATTTAAAAACAAAGAATAATATAAAAAATACAAAGCTAATAAAAGATAACAAAAACAAAGATGACAAAGAGCATTCAGGGGGAGAGCATTCTCCCCCTGAATGCTCTTCTGTAGGGGCCCCCACTGAGCATTCTCTGTGGGGGCCCCTACCCTCTGGAATGAGCTGCCCCCGGAGATTCATAGGATTACCGGCCTGTGTACCTTTCGCCGTGCCCTAAAAACATTACTATTCCAACAAGCAGGGCTGGCTTAAATAATAATAATATTTTTACTATTTTAATGGATTGTTTTATTAGAATTTTCGGCCATTTTTTTTTTTAAAAATTGATTTATATGCCGCCCTTCTCCGGAGACTCAGGGTGGCTTACAATGCGTTAAGCAATAGCCTTCATACTTTTGTATATTTATACAAAGTCAGCTTATTGCCCCCACAAACTGGGTCCTCATTTAACCTACCTTAGAAAGGATGGAAGGCTGAGTCAACCTTGAGCCTGGTAAGATTCGAACCTGCAGAAATTGCAGGCAGCTGTGTTAATAACAGGGTGCATTAAACCACTGTACTACCACTGTACTAACAATTGATTTAATTGTTTTAACTTGTTTTTAATTTTTCTACTGTCATGGTTTTATTTCTGGCTGTACACTGTCCTGAGTCCTTTGGGAGAAGGGCAGTATAGAAATTTAAGAAAAAGAAAAAGAAAAGAAAACAAAGCTGGTGGGGAACAGGAAGAAAGGGACATCAGTTATCCTCACCAAAGGCCTGGGTGAAGAGCCACAATCTCAGGGTCCTTTGAAATGCTAGTAGGATGGGGGCCATTTGAATCTTGGAAAGAACCTCTTTTCCAAGGGTTAGGTCTTTGCATAACGTGTCATTTGAGCCTGGTATTTGTCCACTCAATAAAAACTCTGGGTTGATTTGTTGTATGATACATTTTTTTTATCTTGGTTATCCAGTTAGATGATTGTATTAAATAAGAGAGAAGCTGCATTTTGGAAGCAACTAAGTGCTAATTAACTTCTATAAACACAAGGCATTTTTTATTCTTCATTTCCTACATTCCTCTTTCATTCAATTTCCTCACCACCACCACCAATTTGTTATGCCTAATCACAATAATATCACATTGTTCCTAAACTCTACTGAGTTGAAGGTTATTCATGCATCCTTGAGTCAGCAGAATATATTGATCTGAAACGTGATGCCAGTCCCTATCCTGGTCATGTTTCAAGTCTTGGTAGTAGCCTTGGTAGTACAGTGGTCTAAAGCACCCTGTTATTAACACAGCTGCCTGCAATTACTGCAGGTTCGAATCTTACCAGGCTCAAGGTTGACTCAGCCTTCCATCCTTTCTAAGGTAGGTAAACTGAGGACCCAGTTTGTGGGGGCAATAAGCTGACTTTGTATAAATATACAAAAGTATGAAGGCTATTGCTTAGTGCATTGTAAGCCGCCCTGAGTCTCCGGAGAAGGGCGGCATATAAATCAAATTAAAAAAAAAAGTCATTACCAATCACTTTCTTTTGAGGTAGCCATTTTAAACAGCTTTTAAACAGCTTTCACATACTTGGACCTTTTCAGAAAAAGTTGGAAAACGACCCAGTTCTTCACATCTAAAAGTCACATAAGGCTGTGTCGTGCATGGGCTGAAGACAAGGTAACATCATGGGGACACAGCAGATAAAGATGTTGCCATGACATGTTTGTGCAAGTGGGGAAAGCCCTAAAATGTATCTATCCGGAGTTTTCAAAAGCGTAAATACTTTGTGATAGGGGGTTTCCAAATGAAAATAGTTACTTTTTCCAAACCAAAGTCCAGATAACTTCACCAGCATTTCTAATTATAATTCAGATTTCACATTTATCAGTTGAAGAATCCATCCTTGTATTTTTTTTATTTCTTCCTTCCTTCCTTCCTTTTTTGCAGAGTATGGAGTCACCATGTTATATCTTAACTGTAAGAATTATTCGAATGAGGAATCTCCATCCAGAAGATTGGTGTGAGTATTTTCATTCCTGATCATGGTTTCATGATATACTGAAAGTATGGTATACTGTATGTCTGAACAATAATATTACCCCCCAAAATGTCAATAGAACAGAACGGAATGGAACGGAACGGAACGGAACAGAACAGAACAGAACAGAACAGAACAGAACAGAACAGAACAGAACAGAATTCTTTATTGGCCAAATGTGATTGGACACATAAGGAATTTGTTTTTGGTGTATATGCTCTCAGTGTACATAAGGAGAATAAAATACATTAATCAAGAATAAAAAGATACAACACTTAGTGATAGTCAAGGTTACTAATAAGCTATCAAATTGTACTAGGAAACAAATAAAAATAATATAAATCGAAAGATGCAAGCAACATGGCTATAGTGGAAAGAGATATATACTAGTAAGGAAGAGAAGAATAATAGTAATACAGTCTTAGTAAATTATTTGACAGTGTTGTGGGAATTAGTTGTTAAGCAGAGTGATGGCATTCGGGAAAAAACTGTCCTTGTGTCTAGTTGTTCTGGTGTGCAGTGCCCTATAGCGTCGTTTTCAGGGTAGAAGTTGAAACAACTTCTACCCTCCACACCCCTCCAGGATGTGAGGGGTCTGTAGATATTTTCACAGCCCTCTTTTTGACTCGTGCAGTATACGGATTCTCAATGGAAGGCAGGTTGGTAGCAATTGTTTTTTCTGCAGTTCTAATTATCCGTTGAAGTCTGTGTCTGTCTTGTTTGGCTGCAGAGTTACAATAATTCCTCTGTAGAACTGGATCAGCAGCTCTTTGGGCAGTTTGAGCTTTCTGAGTTGGCGCAGAAAGAACATTCTTTGTTGTGTTTTTTTGATGACGTTTTTGATATTGAGATATGATAGAACCTAGAAACTTGAAGATTCTACTGTTGATACTGTGTTGTCTAATACTATAAGAGGTTTTCTTCTAGTATAGGAGGTTTTCTTTTAAAATCCACCACCATTTCTACGGTTTTGACTGCATTTAGTTCAAGATTGTTCTGGTGGCATCACAAGGCTAGTTGTTCAACCTCCCATCTCTATGCAGATTCATCCTTGTCTTGAATGAGACCAATCACTGTTGTATCATCTGCAAACTTCAGTATTTTAACAGAGGGATCTTTTGAGATGCAGTCATTGATGTATAGAGAGAAGAGTAGTGGAGAGAGCACACAGCTCAGGTGGGGAGGGGCTGTGCTAATTGTGCAGGTATCTGATGTGATTTTGCCTAGCTTCACCTGCTGCTTCCTGTCTGTTAGGAAGCTTATGATCCATTTACAGGTGTGGTCAGGTACAGCTAGCTGATTTAGTTTAGTTAGAAGAATATCTAGAATGATGGTATTGAATGCTGAGCTGAAGTCTACAAAGAGGACCTTTGCATAGGTCTTTGGAGAGTCAAGATGTTGTAGGATGTAGTGCAGAGTCATATTAACAGCATCATCTGTCGATCAATTTGCTCAGGAAGCAAATTGCAAGGGGTCTAACAACGGATCTGTGATTGTTCTCAGGTGGCCGAGCGCTAGCCTTTCAAATGTCTTCATAACTACAGATGTTAGAGCAACCGGTCTGAAGTCATTCAGTTCCTTGATGGAGGGTTTCTTCGGCACTGGGATGATGGTAGACCATTTGAAGCAAGAAGGAACATAGCACATCTCTAGTGATTTATTAAAGATGCGGGTGAAGATGGGGGCCAGTTGGTCAGCTAAATTTAGCTATCTTGCTAAATATACAAGAAGCCTTTTAAAAGCATGTATCAAACATATACAAAACATATAAAGAACTCCAAGGTTCATCCAAATGTTACAATTTTATAATTGCAGCAGCTTATCAGATCACTTGTAATTGATACACAGTAAGATCTGAGTACATTGGCAGCAGTTTGCCAGGTTTGTTGATAAGAATCTTTGCTGCCATATCCAAAGATGCCAGGGAAAACTCTTGTCTGCAAATTTGCGCTTCAACTCACGCATGCTACTCTCACAGATACAATTAGATGTGTTTCAGTGATTATTCTTTGATCAAGCCATTGTCAAGATTCATTGTTATCTTCAAATAAATGAATTTCCAAATGCCCGATCTTTGAGGAAATTTTTCTCTTTATTGAGCATAACAAACTGACCCTGACTCAATGTGCAGTTAGCACTGAACTTTAGCCCTCCCAAAACCTCCCTTTCCGGTTCCCAATTCTCTGCGTCTCATTGGCCATCTTCCAAGCCATCTCCATCAGTTCACAGTCCCCCCTCCCATCCCATTTCTGTGGAGACAGTTCTTCAGGGGAATTAAGTAGGTGAAAGTTCAAGCCTCTCCTCCCCTTCCTTATGGCAGCTTGGAAGCTGACATCCATGGGGTCAGCCCAGCTCCAGGTGGTTATTTTTGGCTGTGGTCAGTGCACCCTCTTCCTCTCCAGTCCCTGAGCACTCTCTTCTAGGGGCATTTTGTTTTGTGGAGTAGAAAATATTGATTATTTCAAATTGGACCCCCAAATTGGCATATTGTACCCACCAGATCTTCAAGTGTCTTGGATCAGCAAGATCAAGTTAACCAGTGGAACAGCTTGCCTCCAGAAGCTGTGGGTGCTTCAACTGGAGGTTTTTAAGAAGAGACTAGACAGTCATTGTTTGAAATAGGGTCTCCTACTTGAGCAGGGGGTTGGACTGGAAGGTTCCTTCCAACTCTATTCTGATTGACTAATTTTGAACATAGAAGACTATAGGAATGAGAAACTGAGGCTTATTGAAATAATGCTACAAGTGTAAAGGCCTAGCTTCTTTTCATATGAAAAGAACATTGGAGAGATTGTTATTAAAATAAATTGAAATACATGATGTTGGATAGTAATAACACCTTTGGCTGTATGCTGGAACAGGAATGACAGAATAATTTTGCTGCATCACACCTGAAAAGAGATCGCCAGTGGGAACAGCAAACTTTTATGTCCGTATAGTTTTCTGCTGGCTCAGGGACTCAGGTGGATAGCATCTAATTTAGCCCTGAGAAGAAACTCTGAGATTGACTTAGCTTAAACCAAGAATAAGGAATTTCCCTATGCACCAGCCTATTTGCTAGTCAGCATTCCTACTAGATAGTATCTCAACCAACCTGGCAGTTCATGGCCAATAAACACTACACATACATACATACACACACACACACACACACACAGAGAGAGAGAGAGAGAGAGAGTTTAGATAAATCGTGTAGGAATTTGAACAGAATCAGAGCCATCTGACATGGGGAAAACTGTATGTTTCTACCTTTCACTGACCCATTTCAACCCCCGCATGCCTAGATTAAAGTATAGAGATAAAGCAGAAGAGATACTGCCTTATTTTCAGCTCAGTCTTACTTCCTCTTCTACAGAAACCAAAAGGATAAACAACTTAAATCAAACTCACCAGTGAGTACACACTATAGCTATGGCACTTTAACCTTACCTGAAATTCAACTGTGGTTTGAGCATGCATGTAATAAGCTTATCCACACTATGAATTTCCAAATATTATCAGCATTGTTCCAAAGAGTTTCAGTCACCTGAGTTATGGGGGAAGCTTCTTTCACTCAGCCAATATTTCCCAACTGTTATTTCAAGCTTGATTCATACATTAGCCAAGTTAATTGCTATACATTTGGACTTCCTTGAACTAAGCTCCAGTCATACACCAAATAATGGCAGCAAGAATATAAAGGAGTTCTCAGTCTTCTAAAATGTACCAACCATTTGCACAGTTGGTCCAGAATGCAGCTGTGCGAGTTATAGTGGGTGCGCCTAGATACACCCACATTACACCAATTCTCTGCGAGCTGCACTGGCTCCCTATTGGTCTCCAGGTGCAATTCAAGGTATTGTTCATTACCTTTAAAGCCCTATATGGCTCAGGGCCAGGCTATCTTTGAGACTGCCTTCTACCACATAGTTCCCAGCGACCAGTAAGATCCCACAGAGTCGGTCTCCTCTGGGTCCCGTCAGCTAAACAATGTCGGCTGGCGGGCCCGCGGGGGAGGGCCTTCTCTGTGGCTGCCCTGGCTCTCTGGAACCAATTACCTCCTGAGGTCCAGACTGCTCCCACCCTATTGGCCTTCTGCAAAGCAGTGAAGACCTGGCTCTTTCGGCAGGCCTGGGGCCGTTGATCTCGTTATAATGATCTTGCGAGACCCGGCCACAAATTGGAGTGCATGTGTTTTAACGTTTTTAAAGTTTTTAAAGTTTTTAATGTTTTAATGTTTTTCTTTTTAACATTTTTTATGGGATTGTTCGCATTGTTTTATTCATTGTTGTAAGCTGCCCAGAGTCCTTTGAGAGTTGGGCAGCATAGAAATATGACAAAATAAAATTAAATAAATAAATAAATTTCCTCATCATGTCAACTGATGGTATACTTAAATAGTGTTGTCAATCAAGCCATAATTAGTGAAGTGGCTTAACGAAGGCTTTGTGAAGCAATGATTATGTATGTCTAGAAAACCTGGCTGTTTTCTCACATCTTGGGCAGGATGGCTGTTGTATTTCTATAGTTATTCTTTTGTTGTTATGTATGGTGTTTTTTTTCTGGACATGCATGATCTGCTTCTTAATTCAATATCATTTCTCATTTAAAAAGCATTCAAGCTGCTCAGAATCCTTTGGAGTTGGTTGACATCTAAATTATATAAATAAATAAACTCATGAGAATATAAGGGGGGCATATAAAGTTACAAAATATGCATTATGATATTATAGCACAAGTCCTGTGACTTAGGTTGTATCTGATAGTAATATAAGGTCAAAAGGATATTTTGCTTTGTGACATCATATGGACATTTTTTTATTTGTCCCTCTTGCAAATGGATATGTACATTTTTGTTTTGTCTACCACAATATTACCTATAATTCATTTCACCAATAAATAGAAGTTATGAAAATCTGTGCTCTGTATAAAAGCAACCATTAATTGAATTTACACCAAGACAAAAATCCTTATAAATATAGTTATTGCAAACATGTTGGTTT